GTCTGTGGTTGAAGCCACCCAGTCTGTGACATTTTGTTATGGCAGCCCTAGTGAACTCATACACTAATCACATTGGCTCAGGGCCCACCCTAACTCAGCAGACCTCATCTTAACTGGATTACATCTGCTGAGATTCTATTTCCAAATAAGGGCATATTCACAGGTACTGGGGGCAGGACCTCAGCACATTTTGAGGGACACAACTCAACCCCTAACAGTCACCTTGAGTGCAGGCATCGGTTAATGAGCTTAGCAGATATTAAAGCCAGGCACAGTGGCTCATTCCTGTAATCCCAGCATTTTGGGAGGCTGAGGCGGGAGGATCACCTGAGGTCAGGAGTGCGACCACCCTGGCCAACAAGACAAAACCCTGTCTCTACTAAAAATACAAAAATTAGCTGGGCGTGGTGGTGCATGCCTGTAATCCCAGGTACTCAAGAGGCTGAAGCAGGAGAGTGGCTTGAACCTGGGAGGAGGAGGTTGCAGTGAGCCGACACCGCGCCACTGCACTCAGCCTGGGTAAGAGTGGGACTCCATCTAAAAAAAAAACAAAGGAGAAATTAAGCCATCCCCAGAGGCTCACTCATGCCTTCAGCTGTGCTCAGCCAATGGAAGGTACAGGCAGAAGGCTGGTGGGTGGGAGGAGACTGAGGTCATTTATTGTGGTCCTTCTCGCTGGGTCACTGAGAGCTGGCTGTTTCTATTGAAGGCTGGTCTCTGTCAGGTTTGGGGACATTAAAGGCTCCCTGATGTTGCTAGCTGCCCAGATTTGTATCATGCCTAACCCTGTCTGCACCCTGGCAAACAGCGCCTTTACTAAACGCTCCTCAGCTACCCAATTGGAGCATGCCATTTCCGGCTGACTCCTGACTGCTACACGCCATTTTCTAGGCTCTTTTGGGATTCAGGTGGAGTGTACTGGTCAGAGCAGGAGCCTTCACATTTGCTGGGTAATTCTCTTGCTTATAAATTTTGGGGATGGTCCTCAAAGATCAAGTTGGGGCAGTCTTGATCCAGATGGGGAGAAGTTTCACAGACACAAAGATGTATACTAAGGCTGTATGACCCGAAGACTCACTTCTACTGCAAATGGCCAGTTTCTTCCCCTCCCTGCATCTACGCCTTTGCAATGTGACTCGACAGCTCCTTCAACCGAGAGGCAGTGCCTTCCTCCAGCCTTTGCATTGGGACTGGCCTTCTGAATTGCTTTGACCCATGGGATGGTAGCAAAATGTGGAGCAAGCAGCAACTTGAAACACTTGGGCACACTGTTCTTGGAAATGAACCGCCATGTGAACAAATCCGGGTTAGCCTGCTGCAGATGGAGAAATACATGGGCCAGTCACCTGTCGCCCAGCTTACCACCAGCCAGCTGGCAGATGTGAGGGAGGCCACTGGGCCCCGCCAGCCACCAGCTGACCACAAGCATGAGTGCGGCCAAGACCAACTGAGCCAGCCCAGCAGAATCTTAGCGATAAATGGTTGTTTGAAGTCATGTTCAGAGCAGTCCAGATGCTGGAAACACTGAGCTGACCATCTTCCAAATCAGAGGTCACCCTGGCAAGCTCACGTCTCTTGCATTTTTTGATGACAAGCCCTTCTTATTACAGGGTTTGTCATTGTTTGGAATGATGACAAAGAGAAGCCTGAAGTGCTCCGAGTGGAGGCTTGGAATAGCTACTTCAAAGAGAAGGGGGCTTACCCTGCATCAACATCTGCAGACATGCACTCCTAAAGCTGGTCTGGTGGCACTGGATGACCCCCTCTCAGGAGGCTGAAGGCAGCAAGGGGCCAGTGAAGTTTCCTCAGAACCTGCAAAGGACCACGTAGACCCCCAAGACAGACATAGCTACTCAGGAGTGTTAGGAGCTGGTACTAATACTGAACACTAGAGACTCCTGGTTTGTAGTTGTTACATATTGAATGTATGTGTCCCCCCACAAATTAGCATGTTGAAATCCTCACCCCCAAGGTGATGGTATTGGTGGGGGTACCTTTAGAGGTTAACTAGGTCATGATGGAATTAGTGCTCCTATAATGGAGGCCCCAGAGCTCTCCCCACCACGTGAAGACACAACGAAAAGTTGGCTGTCTGCAGCCTGGAAGAAGGCCTCACCAGAACCCGGCCATGCCTGCACCCTGATCCTAGACTTCCAGCCTCCAAAAACAAATGCCTGTTGTTTATAAACCACACAATCTGTGGTACTGTTACAGCAGCTAAGACAGAGGAAAAGGTTGTTTCATCTTTAAATTATTTCCTGCAATTTCCAACCTCTACTTCCACAGAAGTGGAATCTAGCTACAGAATAAACCTGTTAGGTCTCCATAAGTCAGATCATTTCTTACTGGAATGTGTATTTCCCATCTGTGGGCCTTCATCAGCTCTCATCATCTACTTCTGTGACCATGCAATCCTCCTCTCCCCCACAGACCTCAAGGCCCTCAGGGCGGGGCCTGTGTTTACACTGTCCACAGCATCCTCGGCACCCCCAGGCCCATTCTGAGCCTTTAGTTTCCCAGAGCCCATAGTTTTCTGTGAGTTCTTTGAAACAGAGCATTTGAATTGGTGTATGAGACACTGATATTTTATCATAAGTCACAATTATCTGTCTACAGAATCACTAGAAGATGCGTTTGTACATGTGTGGTATCCACAATGCCACTTCCGCCACGTGGCATGAGTGATGGTTTCCTTCTTGCCTTTTCTAACTCCATGAGGTAGGAGCTTATGTCAGGCCTTGTTCTAGCTGCCGGGGATGCATCCACACACCAGAGACAACTCCTTTTGTCTTGGAGGAAAAGACACAATTACAACAAAATGTGACAGTTGTGCCAGAGGAAGACTGGATGCTCTGAGCACACACAGCAGTCACCCCAAACTGACTTCTTCCCCTTAGAGTCAGGGGAGAAAGGGGGAGGGAAGGAGATCCCCTCAGCCACTGTATGAGACTGAGGACAAATGTGGCCAAGAGAACAGGTCTAAAGACAGCTCTGGGCACCCCAGGGGTTTCAGGAAGGTGAGAAAAAGCAGCAAAAGAGAACGAGGAGTGGCCAGAAACAGGAGAAAACCAGGCCAACTCGGCGTTTTGGAAGCCGAGGGAAGTGTTTCTTGAGGAGTGCTCAGGACCACAAAGGATGCTAACTTCAGGTGAGGACCAAGGCAACCCGTCACTCCCTGCCACAGGTGACCTGAAGAGCAGCTTCAGCAGAATGCATTTAACAGCAAATGCAGGAAGAGAAATTAGGGAACACAGAACACTTTTTCAAGACTAGAGACCATGGCACAATTGGCAAAGGAGAGAGGTACAAGCTGTCAGGGGGGCTAAAACCCAGTGTGTAGAGTGTTCTAGAAGGAAGAAGGGAGGGCTGCAGAGGGGCATGTAGGAAATGTGTTGTCATGTCAAGTCAAATATAGTGAGACCAAAATTCCACTGGCGTTTGTAATGGGATGAACCCAGTAGGAGCACCTTCTACATCCCTAAGGGGTAAGGTGAGGAACGCCTACTCAGAGGCACCCAGGGCTGCGCATTTGACAGACACAACGAAAAGTTGGCCCTCTGTAGCCTGGAAGGTCACACCAGAACCCAGCCATGCCTGCACCCTGATCCTGGACTTCCAGCCTCCAAAAACAAATGCCTGTTGTTTATAAACCACCTTTTAAGTGCTCTTTCCAAGAAGAGAGACTTGGCATGTTACCTATCTGATGAGGAGCAGCCAGTGGAGATGGCATGAAGGAGAGGAAGGGGTCGCAGAGTGGAGTCCCTGAGGAGGATGGGATCCAGGTGGGGATGGGATCCAAATGTGGCCGTTCAAGTCTTTTCTCCTCAAACATTTGGCCAAGGCACAACTCCATCTCCTAAGCATTCCAGTTGAAGACTCTTGTGTGTTCTGCCCCAGGATTTACTCATGTTGCTCCATAATTAGGATGGGGTGCTTCACACATTATCTAACACTTGACAGCTCCCAGCGTCCGTCCCAAACTCCTGCAAACTGCCAGGACACACCGCGAGCTCCACAGCAGCCTCTGCTGGTGGACAAGGTGAGTGTACGGCCTAGGTTTGAAGCATGGTTTTTATGGCTCTGGCCCAGTCCCTTCTTCTCCAGGGGCCTCAGCTTTTGGCATTTGCACCTCTGCCCCCAATTTCTCATTTTTTCAGAAAGGGCCAAGACCCGCTTTCCCCAGCAAGCTCAGTCCACCTTTCTGAAATGCTTAATGCCCCAGATCTGTAACGTGATTTTCACTGTATTATTACTCCACATAACTTTTATTTTTGAGATGTAGTTTTGCTCTTGTTGCCCAGGCTGGAGTGCAATGGCATGATCTCGGCTCACTGCAACCTCCACCTCCCACATTCAAGCAATTCTCTTGCCTCAGCCTCCCACGGAGCTGGGATTACAGGCATATGCCACCACGTCCAGCTAATTTTTTATATTTTTAGTAGAGACAGGCTTTCACAACATTGGTTAGGCTGGTCTCGAACTCCTAACCTCAGGTGATCCACCCATCTCGGTTGGTGGGATTACAGGCGTGAGCCACCATGCCCGGCCACATAACTGTTTCATTAGCTACAAGAAGCTCCCCGCACCTTGATGCCCTAAGGCCTTTGGCTAATATGAACACAAGGATGAAGTAGACTACAGTGAGTAGGGTTGTGGACCAGTGACTAAACCCATCTAAGCTTCAGTTTCTGAAAACCAAGGTTAGTAACATACCCATTTCATAGGATTCTAGGGGTATCAAATAGAAATCGACACTCCTGCCAAGTGGTAAGTGCTCTTCAAATGCTAATACACAATGCAAGTTTCCCTCTCGCCTCCATTATCTCCTAATCATTCTCCATGACACCCTCCTTCCACTCCCACCAAAAGGTGCTAGATGCAGGGGGGGCATGCAGAATTCAAGCACTGTTTCTTCCCATGAAAAAAAATCAGGTTTCAAGGTAGTCAGTCACATCTAATAGTATACTAAAACATACCCTTCTACTTTTCTAATTTTCATAGTTTATTTCTATTTATAACTCTTGTGTTGAGGGCTCTTGACGGACGGCAGCAAGGGGGCTGCTCTGCTGCATAGGAAACCCTGACCCAGAACCCTTCTACTTATGAAATGTGTAGTTGACAGCCACTTCACATACATTTTCAGTTACAGAAAGTATGCTCAAGGAAGAATGTTAAAAAGTTCCCTTATATCCTACAAGGGGTTCTCTCTAGATGTAAACAAATCTGGATGAAATATTTTAATCCAAGTATACCATTTCCCACGTTATAAATCTTCTGTGCTGGTGGGAGCCAATCCAGTTACACACTGGAAGGGGAGTGAGGGTCCCAGGACTTCCCCACACCTCTCACAAGGTCCACCCTTGTTTCCACTGACCCTCTCTGTGACCTGAAACCCCCAATTTCCTCCACAGGCAAAATAAAACTCAAGTCTCTCTAGACTCACAGACTTAGTCTTGACTATGCCAACCTATTTGTTTGTAATTACACTGCTCAAGGCTCCTGTTTCCTCTCCTTCAGCCATTCTCCAGAGCGCTCCTCAAGAGATTTTAAGTCTCGCACGGCCAGACTGTATTTCCCTTTGTCAAGAAGCAACCACGGAATATTCTACCTGCAGGAGATAACAAATGTTGACTAATTTATGTATGAGACCATTCTAGAGTGCTTTTGTAGCGAATTACTCCTATTCTGAAGGTGAATGTTTTTCCTTCTGATGATCTAGATGGGGTCCACACACTACAGCATGCAGCCCAAATCCAGCCCAGGAACAGAGAATCTTTTAAAAAAACAATCCTTTAAAAATATAAAAACCTAAGACTATGTGACAGAGATAGTATGTCACCTGTAAAGTCTGAAATATTTACTATTTGGCTGTTTATCCAAAACTGCTGATAGTGCCTCTGGACAAGAGCATAGAAGATGAGTCATGGCATAAGGGAAGAACTGAGGGCACGCGTAGAAATGCGGTCAGCCTATGAGGAACCTCGAGGCATGATGTTTCTTTATCCCAGTAATTCAGCAACTAGACTCCAAGCACCCGATTTTGTGGATGAACCCCAAGGAGTCTGTCAACTTTCAAAATCACCGCAGCTGTCTGCCACTTGCCAGACTTATTTTGGGTAAGCAATAATAAATAGAGAAATAAGTAATAGTTGGAGGTTGTGAGTAATAAAAAGCTATTTAATGTTTGATAGACAAATTCAAGTCCATAAATCTCCTTGAATAAAGATGCTAAAAATGTTATTCTCGTTTTTTAAATAGTTTTGTTTTTACAAAGTTCTGTACATAAAAATAAATATACAGAAACAAACCCCATCAACTGTCCACATCAGTAATCCTCACTGGTGGGCTCACCATTGATAAGGAAGACATCATTCAACGCAACCTGTCACAGAGACTGTCCTAGCAGCAAGGATTTCTAATTTCAAAAGAACATTACTAGGCCTCTTTTATCAAGACTGCTCATCATCTAGAGGCCTTTACCTACCAACTAGCAATTAACCATGAAATCAATGAATGCAATCACTGTCTCCAAGTGGAATGTGACTAATGACCTAATGCCTAGAGGCAACATCTATACCTTTTGCTGACTGGAGCCCTGACATATGCAGGTGTAGTTAGGAACAGAAATCAACCCCACCTCCCCTTGGCTAGTCACTGTGAAAAGCGTGCGTAAGGCAATTGAATCGAGGGTTAAGGATTCATCTTGCTAATGTCAAAAGCGACACTAACAAGATTTTTAGCTTCATCCGCCAGATGATGGGCCTCTGCGTCCAGGTCTCCAGGAGCAGCTTCCACCTCCTTCACCAGACAAAGGGTTATAACCTAGGATGACAGAAAAGAAGCACAACAGTATTGATAAAATCTGAAAATCTGGGGACATTCTATATCCAAAATAAAATTATGAGAGTGACATGCAAAGCACTGCAAAGATATGGATTCTAAGGGACATTTAAAAAAACCTTTTAGCTGCTATATGAAAAAAAAACAAACCTTTATATTGTGATTGCCATTTGAATTGATTTTCTGGTGGGGAAAAAAGTCATTCAGCTGCTTTGTCCCAACTCCAAAACACATGCAAAAGAGTCACCAAAAACTCTCTCAAGATGGCCTGATTTAAGTATGTGAATCCTCCTATCACAGTGCTTATTGAAACTCACACATTCAAATAAGGGCCGTTCAAGCTACAGAAAATGGATTAAAAAAAATCAAAACAGAATCAAACTTATCACTTCTACCAGTCAGAACAGGGTCATCTCTATCCTTCCCTAACCCCCACCACCCCCCTCCCTTGCGAGTTTCCCAAAGTCAATGGACAACTGGTAACCTGGTTGAGTGTTCAGGTTCTAGGGCCAGCCAGAACTTAAAATGTTGGCGTTACTCCTTACTTGCACTGGAATCTTTGGGCAATTAAACCCGGTGCCTCAGTTTCCTTATTTGTAAAGCCAGGCTAGTCAAAGCCCCAGCTCAGAAATGCTGGGGACGCTGAAAGAGGCCATGCATGCAAGCAGGCCACGCATTCCATCTTCTATAATTTCCATTCCTCTCCTAAATATCACCTCTCTGTGTCTAAAAATAAGTTTCCAGCAGGACCATTTAAAAATAGCATTTTCTTTCCAGATGCATCACCTTCTCTACAGCAAGCCAGGTTTAGTCTTCTGACACAAAGGGGATTACAGCTCAGCGTTTAAGGTCAGCCAATTTTGTAGCCCTGCTGCCTTGGAGCCCATGTCCCAGTCTTTCCTCAGTCCTCAAAGACGCCATCAGGCCTCCAGGCCTCTGCTGTGCCCCTTTCCTCCTATGGAGGATACAAAGTCTTCCGCCTTGGTTCCTACAGTGTTCTAGTGTCTTTGTTCTCTCCTTACACAGCAGTAACTTGCAACTCTTAGCCAGAATCACAAAGGATTGCTTATTTTCACTTGGGAGTCCCAAATTCCCAAATTTGAAATTCTCAGGGATGGGATGAAGACAGAGTCCCCGGGGCAGTGTTGCACACAGGAAAAAGCTTTGGATGAGCATCTGCTACTCCTTGTTATTTGCAAGAAACAAGGTGGTCCCGTCTAGAAAGACCAAAACCACTGTGTTCCAGCTCCTTGACGCTCATCTGAAGATTGGCAGACAATTCCTCACCCTACTTAGCTCTCGCCCGACGGGGCTGCAGAAGGATCAAGTGAGAATACTATAAGCACAATCCTTCCAAGTACTTAGTGAGGACCTAGGAGGTGGTTTGCATCTGTTTCCTTTATTGAATCTTCACAATCCTAAGGAATTAGTCTTAACTTACGGACAAAGAAGCAAATAATCTTGTTTCTACAAGGTTAACTAGAAATTTGTTAACATTTGACATCAGTGGTGCTTACCACCTCCCCGCAATGGCTTTCTGTCCGATTTCCGTTTCACGACGACAGATGAAGTGGAAGGCCCAGGACTGTCTTCCTCCTGTTTGAACACGTAAGAAGCAATTAAAACATTCTACTTGGCAATCTTTATCTACTGCATGCCAGCTGGCCGAGGTCTCCAGTCACCTGAGGCTTCTTTGCATTTCCTTTGTAACTTTTTCCTTCTTGCATGCTGTCCCACATTTCAATCTTCTGTCTCCTTTTTTCTTCTTCAAGCTGAGAAACAATCATATTGTACAGAAAGAGTTCAGAAGCTGCCATCTCTCTCAAAGACAACGCTAACTCTGATAATTCTTAATTTAAACGTTTTTCAGAACAAACTTCACCCTCGTTTTCTTTAGTTAATAAAACTGTTGTGATCTGGTGGTATGAGTTTAACTCACATAGAGAAGCTTTGGTTTTTGTACACTATTAAAGAAAGCAAAATGTTTCACGAAAAAAATTACTGACTCCATTCTTCTGAAACTCATTCCTATCAGTACATTTTTGGTAATGTGGAAGACACAGGCACATGCACGCACACACTCACATGTATCCTGCTCCAGTCTGTCCCTCCTTTTGTGCTCTGGACCTTTCATTGTAATATATTCACACATCTAGTGTTCCCTAACAATAGTGTATACTTCTTGATATCATCAACACTTACATCACAGGAACTGAAATGCTTACTGAATCTAATGGGATAGGACCTGGTCCTGGAAGCTTATAGACAACACACATACAGGCATCATTATGCACTAAGCCTCAGACAACTTCTATGTACACATTCAAACTGAAGCCAGTTCATACCTGTTTCAGTTTTTCCTTATGCTTTTCAACTTGCGCATTTAGTTCTTCTTGCATTTTCAATCGAGCAGCTGCTAAAGCTTCTTGTCGTTTAACAACAACATCAGGTTCTAAAATGTCAGAAAAAAATGGAGACAAAGCACTCTGTACAATATAAAATAGAAACTTTTGAGTGTCCATATTATTAAAAGTATAAAGAGGTATGGACATCAGACAATGAAACATGTTTTTACATGAGTACTCCTAACCCCTCTGCATATATTTTACTGCTTCAGGGGGCAGGGGTCTGTTGCTGAGCCATGGATTTTAGCCTCAAATATCTACATCACCAGCAACCTGTTAGAAATGCCAATTTCTGAGTTCTCCTGAGCAATTCCGATTCATAAAGCCTGGGATGGTAGCCAGAGCACATCTTGGATACCTCAGTGACACCCACAGTCTCTAGGTTGACTGGAATCCTGGAAGACTACCAAGGAAATACAAAGTTTTCTAAATCATTATCCATCCCTTAATTAGCCCAGAAGTAAGATTCTTAAGTATTTGTTTCTACAGAAAAGAAAAATCCTTCCAAATAGCATTATGAGTAGAAATGAACTCATTTCTACTCATAATGTCTACTCATAGTCTCGCTCTTTGCGACAGAGCTAGACTCCATCTCACAGAAAAAAAAAAAAAAAAAAGAAGAAAGAAAAGACAAAATCTCACTCTGTAGCCCAGGCTGGAGTGCAGTGGCACAATCTCAGCTCACTACAACCTCCACCTCCCGGGTTCCAGCGATTTCTCCTGCCTCAGCCTCCCTTATAGCTGGGATTACAGGCGACTGCCACCATGCCCTACTAAGATTTGTATTTTTAGTAGAGACGGGGTTTCACCATGTTGGCCAGGCTGGTCTTGAACCCTGACCTCAAGTCATCTGCCTGCCTTGGCCTCCCAAAGTGCTGGGATTACAGGCGTGAGCCACCGCGCCCAGCCAAGAACCATATACTTCCTTTTTTTAAAAGGAAAAAAAAAAAAAAAAACAAGGTCTCAGTCAATTGCCCAGGCTGGAGTGTTGTGTGGCCCGATCATAGCGCACTGCAGCTTTGACTTCCTAGACTCAAGTTATTCTCCCGCCTCAGCCTCCTAAGCACTGGGACTACAGGTGTGTGCCGCCACTCTTGCCTATTTTTTTTTTTTTTTTTTAAATAGAGACAGGGTCTTGCTATGTGGTCCGTCTGACTTTTAACAAGAGACTAAATCTTAATATAAAGAAGTAGGTGTAAAACCACCGCTTTCATTTCGGTTATCAGGCACTAACCCACAGAAGCCGCAGCTCGCTCCAGCTGCCTCTGCCTCAAGGCTCTCAGCCGGGCGGAAAGCTTCTGAAAGACCACGTAGAGAAGGATGCAGCTGAAGACGATGTACCAGCCATAGCTGGCCAGCAAAGAGCCCACTGAAAAGAAAAAAAAAAGTTTTCAAAAAAACTAAAAATGACACTACTAGTTGACCTTTCCATAAGACTCAACGAACGCAAAGTCAGTCTAACTCCTGACCTCAAAGCCTTCATGGTCTAGGCTGAGGATAAAGCCTCCTAAGTAGATCGTTAAAATATGAACAAGAAGTGCGACACTTCAGGGATCACTGAGAAGTGAGACTTCTCAACCATCTGGGGAATCGGGGGCAGTTAGAGTGTGCAGGGCACAGCAACTGGGTTTTGAAGAATGAAGAGCAACTAATCTGAATCAGGAAGGCAAAGGCCTTTCAGACCTAGGGAACCACATATAAAGGGGTGACAGCGCGGGGTTAGGAGTGTGTAGGGGGCTGTGTGGGGCAGGTCCCAGAGGCAAACGCCAAGGGCCGAGTGACCCCAGTAACTACAACAATAAGGGCTTGGTTCGCAAAAAAAGACTTGCGCAAACAACGGCCAGCCGAGCCGCCTAGGGAAGTGCGGCTCCCGAGAAGACTCCGCGCAAGGTCCGGGCCTGCTGCCCAGAGTCCGCGTAAGCGCCAACGCCCGTCCGTTCCCAGGCCTCCCAGGCTCCGGCGCCCCGAGCAGCGAAGGACGACCCACCGATCATGGTGGCGGCGCGCCCCTGCTGCCCCGCAACGACTCACCCGTGACGTGCAGAAAGCGCAGTCCCTCGGTCTCCAGGGCCGGCCGCGCGGACAAGGAATCCTCTTCCCGCTCCATGACGGCCACCGCCGCCCAGGCCGGCCGCCGCGCCTCCAGCCGGACGCTTCCGGTGCGCTCCCACGCACACGTGGCGCGCCCGGACGCGGTCGTGGTCCCGGCCAATCGCAGGCCGGCCCCGCCCCGACGCTGGGCCAAACGCAGGGGGCGTGGCCGAGGGGCGTGGCGGGGGACAAAATCCGGGCTACACTTGCTGGGGCCCGGACGTCGCGTGCTGGTACGTTCTGTAATGTCTCCTGGCCTGAGTCGGGGTGGAGGACAGACTTCTTTCACGGATTTCTTACCGACTTTCTACTTTCTTTTTTTTTTCTAATTGGACACAGAAGCCAAGGAGGCCGGTGGTCGCCCGGAGGCAGGATTTGCACCCACATCCTTGCCCAGGGCACATTGGACAACAGGGCTCAGTAGGTTGACGACTCCCAGCGTTTGAGGGTTGCAGCCAACGTCCACCCCAAGTGAAAACACGAAACGTGGGCAGCCTCCTGCTTCTGCTGCCAGTGATACCTTTCAGGCCAAGAAAGCCCCCACCGATCCTCAAGGTTCTTTTCTCCAAAATCAAAACTTCTTAGGAAAGAACGATCATAGTAACGGCTCTAACCTGCGTTGAATTATACTGTATCATCACAAGCCACGATCAGAGTTACTCCTAATAGTGTCCTGGCTGTGTTCCTCTGCCTGCAGTGTCGTCCTGCACCCTCTTCCACCACTCAAACGTCACCACCTTTATGGTGACCATAACCATCCTATTTGAAATTTGACCTCGGGTTTTTCTGGAGCATTTGAAGTGCACATACCTAGTTGTGTCTCAAAAGAAGGGTTAGGAATTGGGAATAGAACTGAAAAAATAATGAACAGGTGACAACATCCGAGTGCTGCCTCACCACCGTCGCCAGGAGCAGTGTGGGGAAGGCAAACCCCGACATGAAGCGTGAATGCAATCAGTATTTCTTCAACGCAGGTTTGCCAAGAAGTTCCTCCAGGGGGACGGCTGCAGGGATTTGAGCACTGACCTCATCAAGGTTTCCCAGCAGTGTGTTCAGAAAGCAATAAAGGAGACCTGGCATTCATGAGCCATAGCAAAGAGAAACCTGAAAGCCCTTTTTCCCTTTTTGGCCACCTTGAAAATGGACTCCTCAAATGAACAAACCGAGGACTCTGGATGTCATCCATAAAGGCTGTAAAGATAGCTTATCAATTTAATGAGGAATTTTAGGGGAGAGACTATAATTTCCTTCTTCATGTTTGCCTTTCAGTTGTAAAAGATGATGAACCACCATCACTCTTTGCTTTGCTACTGAGTGGTTTCTCACTTGCTCTGGCATCTTGCAGGAAACATTTATGTGCTAAATTGAATGACTTCTTGGAATTACAGCTGCAATTCTCGGTCCCAGATTAGCTTTAAATCCACCTTACATCTAAATACTGATAAACTAGACAGGATGAGCAGGGTTGCCTGACCTCTTTTGTTAGGCTGTGAAGGACATTAGGTACACTGTACTGGGGTCATAGTTCATGGAAAAAAATGGTTAGGCTTCACTTTTCTCTCAGGAAGCTCTAGCAAAACAGTTTCAATCAATGCTTGGGAGCAGTTTTATTTTTATATAGTAACAGGATGGTTTAACAGAGTTCCCCACTTAACAAGGTGTCAGATGAAGACTTGAGAGCTTCAAGAATGTTGCAGTGGGCCAGGAATGGTGGCTTTTGCCTATAATCCTATTGCACTTCAGGAGGCTCAGGCGGGAGGATCCCTTGAGGCCAGGAGTTCAAGACCAGCCTGGGCAACACAGCAAGATCCCATCTCTACAAAAAAATTTGGCCAGGCACAGTGGCTCATGCCTGTAATCCCAGTACTTTGGGAGGCCGAGGTGCGTGGATCACCTGAGGTCAGGAGTTCAAGACCAGTCTGGCTAACGTGGCAAAACCCTGCCTCTACTAAAAATACAAAAATTAGCCAGGTGTGGTGGCGGGCGCCTGTAATCCCAGCTACTAGGGAGGCTGAGGGAGGAGAATTGCTTGAACCTAGGAAGTGGAGGTTGCAGTAAGCTGAGATTGCACCACTGCACTCCAGCCAGGGTGAAAAAACAACAACCCCACAAAACTTAGTTATGGAAGAAGATCCTAAATTGCAAAGATTTGTTGTTGCCGGCTTTCAATCCATGTCAATGAATTAAGTCAACACGCACAGTATAAAAATGCCAAAATGTTGCATCTGGTTAAATTAAGGGAATGTTTGCTTTATTTGCCTTGTTTAGCTACCCTATCCTGTAATGTCTGTAATCACAAAGATGGAATAAACTGTAACATTTTAGGTTTTATCATTTGAAAAAGGCAACAATCCTTTTCACTCAGGACTTTGCAACATAAAACGGAAACCAGTATTAACTCATGAAAATAATGCACATTCTAAGCATATAGAAAACCAAAGTATCCTTGTAAACTATTGTGAACTAGTGTTGTATACATATGTACATATAATGCATATATTCCACTAAAATCTAATAGATATTAAATTATTTGAATGCATAGATGATGGGCTTTTGTTTCAGTTCCTAGCACATTGATCTTATGGTCCTATTGATAGAAGTTACTCATCCTAGCCAGGCATTTGTTACCTTTATCCCTTTAATCAGGTGATCAGGTGTTATAACCTTACCTGGCTTGGCTTGTCTAGAACAGGAAAGGTATTTCAACAAACACTTTGCTCAATGTAATTGCTCAGGTATTATTTGCAGAAAGAGGACAAAGGTGGACAGTAACCAGGACTGTCACCTGTCACTGACTGTTGTAGGCTAAATGATTGGCCCTAATTTCTCATTCCTTCTCACAGCCATATCTTTGCTATGGCCAAGGTGAAAGGAGTGTATTTCCCCATCATCCTTTGACTCTGTACTTGGCGAGGTGGCTTGCTTTGGTTAATAGTAAGTGGGCAGAAATAAGTGTGTCAGTTTTGAGTATACATAGGCCTTAAGAAGCTCCTAGTGTTTACTTCTTGTGCCTTTGCCGGGTGAGCTGGCTCATCGAGACCTGTAAAGAAACCAAGCCACCCCAGTTAATCCAGACCTACAGTGATAAGCAGAGTCAACTAGAATAGTGTTGCTGATTAAAACCCCTGAGTTTTGTGGTGGATTGTTATACAGCATTATTGCAGCAATAGCTAACTGATGAAGTGCCAAGGTTTTCACAAAAGTATATGCAACAAGATGGGATTAAGACTATCATGGCTAAGGGAGATCAGAGAGATGGCAATCAAACAGTAGTGTTTTTCAAATATGAGTAACTTACGCCCCTTTCAACAACAAATGTTCTTGTAGACTCTCCATATGACCTTTATGTTAACTATGTACATATAAAAAACTAGAGGCTGGGTAGGTGGTTTAGGCCTGTACTCCCAGCACTTTGGGAGGCCAAGGCGGGAGGATCACCTGAAGCCAGAGTTGGAGACCAGCCGGGGGGGCGGGGGACAAAAAACGTAGCCAGGCTTGGTGGGACACACCAATTTCAAAAATTGAATCATTTCAGTTGTCATATCAGAAGCCGGAGCGAGAGGTAAGTCTGCATTAACAGAAGGGCTATGTGGGAGTAGAAAAGGTGGCCTTTCTGGCATGTGTCATGACACTGCAGAAGCTAGACTCTAATCCAGCCCAGGAAACCTACTGAGAAAATGCTGCCCTCCTGCGTTTCCAATTTAAACATGTCCTTAGACCTCACTGCAAATGCACTGTGATGACACACAACTTGGCAGCACAGTGAGTGGAGTTTATTTTTATAATTTGTAGAAAATTGACATTTAGATTTCAAAACTTATATTACAAAATTATCAGCAGCAGTCTTAAGCATTTCAACAATGCTGATAGATTTCACTTTGCTAACACAAACAAGGCTATTATACCATGTTCGAAAAGCAAGACTTGTTCCAAAAGGGTCTATCATTATACATCTGCGTCACTGCTCAGGACCCGTTTGTGACTGTGTCTTCTTCCATCTCTTCTTCACCATCATCAGTGGGCCCTAAAGAAAACCACACAAGCAAAAGTAGTAAAGCAGTATCAATTTTAGAGACTCTATTCCCTTAGCATGTGAGTGTTCGTTCTGTGGCCACTGTTTGTTAGGCACTGAAGTAGGTACAGAAAGATCAAAAGCAGCCCCTGCCTTTGAGGAACTTATCGTCCAGGGACAGTCTAGTCTGTCTTTGGCAGGTACTGGAAGGGATGGTCAATTTCAAGGAAAGGGGTCACAAAGGTTTCAAAATTGTTGCCTCCCATTGTAGTTGATGATAATTCATTTTTGGTGAAGGTAAAGTCTATACTCATGTGCTTTTCATGACACTACTATAGGCAAAAAAACCAGAAATACTCAAAAACATTTGGGCACCTACTACATGCCAAATACTGGCAACAGTTCAATGACTTTATTGTCTCTAAATTATGGAAATATGGCAGCAATTACCAAAAAATGTTATTCGTTCAACAATTTATGGCAGATATTGTGGTCAATGTATTCCAGAAGAAAAAAAGTTGTAACTCCTTCAATTGTTTGGGAAAATTACTCAATAATGTCTCACTTAACATCAGTCAGCTGAATTCTTGTATTGGTTTCACCATTCCATCCACTGCAATATGGTATTTTGATTGAGGGCATGCAGAAAATCTGGCCACACAGGCATATAGTTAGAAAAGGGAGGAAGATTTTAATGGCCTATGCAGATAATGATGGATGTTCTTTTTAGATACCATGGTAAAACTTGACAAATGGTAGCTTCCTAAAGGTTAGATGGCAGTATAAAAGTCTGAAACCTTATCAATGAACTTTTCATACTCTTACTTGGTTTATCTTGTACTCTGAACAAATCTTTTACCCATACATGATTTTGTATCATTTGGAAAACAGTGGTTCACCGACTTTTGCAGATCTTTCAAACGTTGAGCCATGTAATTACACAACATCAAAAATGTCACACCCATTAATTCACATGCATTAACATTACTATTGAGTTCCCCAGAAAAGTCTTGAGGTACTGGGAAGGTTATGGCAGTGGACACAAGTTTTCTAAATTTTAATTTTTGCTTCAAATCTTGAATTTTCAATTGTTTT